CCTACAATATATGTAAGCGGTGGAAACGATGAAATTTTTAAAAGTTAACGGACTGTTAATATTTATGGAAATTTTCGGTGGAGAGGTCCGATGAAAAATCAAAGAAATGGTTAAATTTTTTCACGTATTACGAAACCTTTTTGAGGGGGGGGACTTTCCCCTAGTACCTGCCCCGTGGATCCCCGCCTGACTGAGGATACGTCTGAAACTCGCCTGCATGTGTCGTGTCACATATATTCACATTAAAAACCTGCAAAACGTACACTTGGCTCAAAACCATCTCCCTTTGACTGCTGAATCCAAACACATTCCGCAGATAGGTTACTGCCAATTAGAAGTATTAAATATATGCTTCCAAATATACAGCTGACAAAATACTAGAATTGTTCTTTTAGACTTGAAAATTTTTTATAGCTGATATTTTTCAAAGAAAAACTGGTGAAAAAATGGTGTTATTAAGGAATGAACTGTATTTTAATTTAAAATCTTAAAAATTAATAAATAAACATACGTGGCAAGCAATATCATTTTGAATTTGGTCCAAAATGATATATTCAACACTATATATGAATCTCAATTTCTTTCATTTTTTTTTTGTTGTATCTACTCCTGACTTTGCAAAGGCAGAATTTATTTAACATCTTGCATTTTTAATAAAATAAATAAACAGTATTTAATTGCATTATGGTGAGGGATCGCAATGGCAAGTGGTAAATTATAGACCATACAAAATTTGATGGTGTTCAACTGTATGTACATACATACACACTAGAGACCTGTACGATTATGCTAGTACACGCTATTTAACAGTAAATTTGGCATCGCCGAATTTTCACAACCGTGACATCGTCATGGGTGTATTCGAGCTGCACTTAATGCGGCAGTGCTACTTTTTATGAAAGAGTATCACGTTCTACGCGAAAATTTGGACAACTCTGCCTACATCAAGCGTTCGAGGAACAAAATTTCGACAATAAGTTGCTCATCATTCGCAAATCAAAATCAAAATACAAATTTTTACTGCACAATTTCCGCGCCGTTAATCCAGATCAACATTGCCTTCTGTCTTAGCATTTAGTTAATACGGTACTCGTACGATACTAACATAATTGTGCAGACCACTGGTGCACATATGAACATATGTACATATGTATGTATGCCTGTAAAAATATAGATATGGCGCCCCACTCTTTGAATTCTTTGCATGTTTTTGGTTGCGTGCAAACTCTCAAATTTACATTAAACATGCTTTAGTTTCATGCGTTTAATATTTTTAATTGAGGTTTCGAGTGCAGACTAAATTTTAATTGTATTTGGATGATTCCTCCCCGATACACTTGTTCATATGAATGTACATGCATACCTACATACATACATATGTATGTATGTACTTACATATGAGTTTTTCCAGCGAAAAGTCGACCGCGTAAAAAAAAATTAAAAGGTGTATATCTAACTTATTTAGAGCGGGATTTGGCTGCATTTTTGCCAAAAATGGTCTTGTTAGGTGGCGCCAGGGTCGAGATATTTTGAAAAACCGTATTTGTGCTCTGATTTGATTCACATTTGGTGGTACTGGTATCAAAATAAAAAGTACGGTCCACATAAAATGCATGTTTTCTTCCCATTTAATTGCTGTGTAAATCTAGAAAAGTCTAAAATTTTGACTTTTTCAATTCTTTTTTTTAACATTTTGTCATACGAGCTTCAGGTAACACCAGTTTGGAAATACCCATCAGTTGCCCACCGATGCATCCCTTTTTCCATAGTTTCGAACTAGTCCTAAAACCTATAGTTCCGAACCAGTTCTAAACTCGACAGACGAAAGAAAAAAGTATCATGATTTTTCAATGTTTTTGGTTCTTCCGTGTGTGCGATTTTAAACTATTTTCAAAGAAATGTGTTTTCAATTTGAAATTAAATTAGTTTGAATATAATGAATGAAATAAAGGATTACGTACCTTTGGCTGTAGCTGGGTTTGCAGTTTCCCAAGATGTTCAAATGTTGATACAAATTTTTGTTTTGTTGTACCAAGCTATGAAAAAGCATCTGCGAAGTGCAGAATGGAAGCGCATATGAACAAAAAATCCGCCAAACACGTATCTTTGTAAAGTAAACAAGCTCACCGCTGCATCCCTTTTTCGATAGTTCCACCCAGATCTAAATTCGTCACCTTAGATATAGATATAGATTCTAATAGAAAAAGTGAAATAGAATGGACTGTTGGGAATCTAGTTACTATCGGACTGGTCCATTTTTGGCGATAAAGATCTAGTACGGAACTACAAATTTGGTTCACCAGTTCGGGGTTTCCCTGCAGGGTATGTGCACTTCGTTTTCGCGAAGGGATTCTTTTTGTGATTTCTTCTTGTACTCTTAATAAATAAATGTATTCAAAACGATATATGTACATAAGTGGAATAAATGTACCAAATGCAAGAGTAAAAAAATTGGACCACGGCTTAGCAGCCTTTTTTACTTACTTACTTATTGAAAAATTTGTTTTGGATTTTTGCTTATGAATATAGTGGTCGGTATAGTGGTGTTTTTAAAAGTAACTTAAAGTAAGCTTGCTATATTAAGTGGTAAATAGCGTTTGTAGTATTAAGTTTTTTTTAAATGAACCTTTTATACACCTGCGTTCAACTAATTAGCAACTAAATTCCCACTGAGTTGTGTACAACTTATGTTTATTTATTTTTAATAATTGTAATATAAAATATAATTGAATCTATACCAGAAACCACATAAATAAGCGTTTCAAAGCTTGCACAAATTTCCAAAAAAATAATCAAACTTAAAAAAATTGTCATCGAAATTTCCAAATTTTTAATCAGAATAAGTATTTAGAAAATTTTCGGGTATGCAGTTTTTAGGCCGTTCTATTTAAAGTGCAAGTTTCAAATCGCTAAAACTTACCGTTTAGTTTTTTAGAACTAAACTACCACCTGTTGCCACCTGTTCGAAAAATAAATCAAATGCTACTTTAATTAAGAGAATTATAAACTAATAACTATAATAAATTAAATAACGTAAGAGTGTTAATAAATGTTCACCTTGAGTATGTAGAATTTTTAGTGAATTATGGGAATTAGGTAATTTGTATACATATGAATGTATCGCAATATGAGTATCAGAGGAAAGTGGTTTTTTACAAAGGTTGCCAAACTTTTATAAATTAAAATGGCTTCAATACTAAACTAAATTTAAGTAAGAAAAAATATCACAACAGATTCGTCCAAGAAAGTTTACGTTTGAAAATATTTTGAAGGTGGTTAAAAAAATTTAACGTCTCGTGTTTTTCGCAGTTTAAGTATGTTGAGTTTAATTGAAATAAATTCCACCTAATGTAGCACGCAGAAATTTCATACACTCAGCGAAGCGCGTGCGGGCGATCTAGTTAATAAATAAATATAACTGGCAAACACTGTACATACATACATACAAACATATGTATGTAGACAATATGATACTGAAAATTTCTTATTAAGAGCTTTTTTTTCACTTTTGTAAGAACACTGATGAATTTATCATTATTTTAATAATTTAAGGTCCAGAGGATATCTGTGACATTTTCCTTCCAGTATTTAAGCAGTGTTTCTGTTCAATTTTTGAACTCTATCAATTAGTATGAAAAGAAAGACAAAAAAGAATTCTCAGTCTTAAACAAATTTTTTTGTAGTGCAGTATTGGTACTACACATAATACTAATATATTATACATAACTATTTGTTAGTATTTTTTCTAGGAATATTCTTAGTTTCTGTGCTCCTTTTATTGCAAAATCAAATGTCTCTTTTTGTCTGTGGATCTGTTTGTATACTGGTACAAATAGCAAAAACCACTCAATAAGAAAATCCACACTCTATAATAAAATTACTTTCTACACATCCCTCACACAATATTAGGCGCATTTGAAAGACCGTCAAAGTGACATTTAAACGCCAACTCGTACATTTTCCAACAAGTACGCCGGATTCAATGTTTAATTGGCAGCTTATACTTGCCGTCGATATATTAAAAAAAATCGCAGTAGTCAATATAAAACTCCAGAGGCCATTAATATTTTGAAAAAATGTTCGTTTCTTATTTAAAAAGATACAATAAAATCATATGAAAACACAAGTATAGAATAAAAAACTCAAGTTGTATTTTTTCTAATAATTTTCCAGATATTGGGTGTTCAATAGACTGTTCACTAAAGACCCCAGCTATATCAACAGCAGAAGCGGCTACATAAACTGAGTATTTATTATACAAAGCGTACACGAAAGTGGTAGCAAAAAGAAGACGAAAGACAGGTCAGTGTGATTTTCGAACAAGAAAAAGGAAGAGTAGTCTCCTGATAACGCAGTGATCAAAAAGCGTTTGGTAAGAGGAGAAATTGGAAGTCATAAAGCAGCCGTTGGTGTGCTTAACAACTTAGGTCTTGAGCATATCTTCAAACTACACAATATCAACCAGCGGACCGGACCAATTCATTCATCAATCATCCAAAATTGGTTATATGCACAGGCCACCCAAAAAACTATTTTTCGCTTGAAATCGCTGAGCGCGGAAGAAGTACAGCAACAGCGTCTAACCAGCTGCTGCAATTACGCAACTGCAACCAACACAACCACCACAAATTTAGTTGGTTGGAAAAATACCAATGTGTGAACAATAATTACGATTCTACAACTCTATATACACATATAAATAAATAGTATTGAATAATTTATTAACGTAAAAAAAAATACTAATCAGGAAGCGGTGATCGATCGCACGTGAAAAGAGAAGCAAAGTGCAAAAGACGAAGGAGCGAAGGAATTTATTGTGCGACGCTGAAAGGAGCACTCAAAAAGCAAATTTAAACCAGTTTTAAATAAAAAAAAAACAAATATTTTAATTATACACTTAATAATATACATTACAATATTTTATTTTAAATCATATATATGTATAACAAAACACAAATAAGTTCAAACTAAATAACAACAAACACGAACTTTGTGCAAATACCAACTTTTTGTTGGTAAATAAAATAAATTAAAAAAAAAAACAAGTAAAAAATTAAAAAAAAACGCGAAAAGGCGGAAAGAACGAGATTAACTAGCCCAAGTGTGAGGTCAAACACGCGCTGCGTACTGAAAAAAATCTCAATCTCAACGACGCCCATAAGAGGCTTCAATTTGTGCTTAAATCCGCTTTTGGATTTTCGTGCGGAAATATATAGTGCCAGCAGTGGCTGCAAAGAAGTCTGAAAAGGCGCCATTTTAAAGCGAAAATAATAATACCAAAAACAAAATAAAACAACAAATAAATATGAACATTGCCAATCGCTGAGCTGAAACCCTAAAAATAATCAAATAAAAGAATCCACTAAATATTCGTATGCTTTTGGAGGAGACTATTGAATATTAGTGGACGACGACATCCGAATTCGACGTATCAGCTGGCGTGCATACATAAATCTTCTATTCTATTAAGACTTTACTCGCAAAACAAGCCATTTTACTAATTGACGATATATACATATACGACAAATATTTTTCCAGCGTTATTTTGCATATTCTTTATTGAAAGCCGTTTAGAAGCAACATTGTTCCCACGTATCCGAAACTTTTCGCGCATTATTCTTGTTATCGCTTTTACTACTTATATATATATACATACACATAAATATATATATATGTATATATATTCATCGTTTTAGTTTATGAAATCGTGTCGACCTGGTCATTTACAAACATATATTCTCATAACTTGAAAAGATACGAGCGCCATATTTGTATTATTTTAAAATTAAAATAACAAAAAACCAAAGCCAAGCCCTTAAAACACAAAGGTATTCAAAAAAAAAAAAAGGAAGTCACTCACAAAATCAACAACAACAAACAAGGATATCAAAATCTCTGAACAACACTAATCAAACTTCAACTTGAATAAGGGGAAAACCACAAAATTTATCTAAAAATTTAAAAAAATCCTAAATATATATCTATTTAAAAGAATACGGCATTTGCCGCAATTACCTAAAACCAATCACCGAAACTCCAACTTCCGTTTTTGCCGCTGTATAGTAAAAAAAAAAAATACTTACAAACATAGTGAATAAATAAAAAATATATACATATATTAAGATTCACACACTTCACGGAAACTTGTGCAATTTTGAACTCTTGCGCTTAAATACACGCACGCTCTGCACGCAGACAGTACTGCGCTTAAATCCACTCAATTTGTCAACGATCAGCGCGTGAACATTTTGCCTACGCAGCAACGCTAATTGTCCGATTTTCATATTTTGAAAAAAAAAACTCAAACGTAAACGCCACTTATGGCATCCCTCGAGGAACAACCAATCTCTACCATCACCGCCATTTCCACCTTTGATCCGGCTACCACCAATACCTCTGCTGATATCACCTCGACTACATCCGATTCTTCCGCCGGTAGTGCTGTTGCCACCGCCGCCGCCTCAATTGCTGATATCTCGCTGGTGTCAACGTTGGAGTCGGATTTCGGCAAAAGCACCTGTGCTGAAAATCAACTGCTGCCCTCGGCTGCTCCCGCCTCCGCAGCCATCACCGGTAACATTTTAAGCGGCGGTAACAACTCTGCAGGCGGCTCCAGCGCTACGGCTACCGGTGTTGCTGTTAATTCCATCGTTGAGAAGCTTGTAAGTTCACTGACACTTGACATGGACACTGAACCGCTTGGAAGTGGCAATTCAACGTTGTCGTCTCGTGAGTTCAACGGCAACGTAGGTGCAACTACTTGCGAGCATAAGAGCGTGTCATCGCGTTCGTCTTCGCTTGCAGGCAATATGTTTAGTGAGGTGTTCGAAAATAAGGGTAGCGATTTGGAATCGGGCTCGCTTGAGGATTCATGTGGTTCGTTGGGCGCTGATGGCATGGACAAGAATTGCAAGATTTGCAGGTAAGCAGAGATGAATTTATATTAAACTGTGATTTTGGGACTCATAATTTTTGTTGTTTTACTTGCAGCTCGCGCTTAGTAACTCCTCGTGTGCTGTCATGCCTCCATGTCTTTTGCGAATCGTGTTTAGTAAAACTGATCACAGACGATTCTAACGGCAATTCATCATCGGCTTCGTCAACTACTTCGACTGCAGGAGAGCTAATGCCATTGAAGCCTGTTATCGAGTGTCCCACTTGCAAACAAGTAACTATGGTGAGTTTTGGTTTGGAATGTCTGAATTTATTAAAATTTCTTGCGTAATATTTGATAATAATTCTAAATTTCTCAGTTTTAATTTTTTTTTTTATTTCTTGGAAGAAAAAATGCGCCTAAAAATATATTTATTTTTCTAGGCATGAGTTCCCTTCTAATAAATAGAGAAGACAGCTCAAAGTGTCGTAAGAATGAAGTGGAAAGTACAAATGTTAAGTGGTATAAGATAGGTTTAACGCCTTATATACCACTGAACACCACTTCCCTGGTTCTTATGGCGCCGAATTTTCATTTCCTATTTCTATTTTTTTAGCAAGTGTTGAAATCCATCATATCTCATACTGTTTTTTTTTTGTACTGTTGAGGTTATAAATGTGCTTTCCTTACGTTTAGGTCGGCTCCAAGGGCATCGAATCGTTGACTTGCGATTATATCTTAACCAACATTCTTGATCTTTCCACCATCGAATCGGAGCAGTTGTCGTGCACTTCATGCAAGAGTAAGGAGAAAGCTATTTCACGCTGCAGTGATTGCGCTAATTTCTTGTGCGGCGGCTGTGATAATGCTCATAAGTATATGCGCTGCTTTGAGAATCACGAAGTTGTCAAGCTTGAGGACTTGCAGAAGGCTACAGCTGACAAACCATTGACCATCCATAAGCCGCTTTACTGTAATGTTCATACTGCTGAAAATCTGAAATATTATTGCTTCAATTGCCAAATACCCGTTTGCAATGATTGTTTGATTGCCGATCATAAAGGCAGTGAGCATCATTACGATGTGATCGCTATGGCCGAAAAATCTGTGCGCGTTGACGTAGAGAACTTGATGAAGGAAGCCAAATCAAAGGTTAGTTTTTCTCTCGTTAATTATTATTTTTTTTATTGGAAAACGTTAATTTAAATACGAATACAAATATTTACATAAGTACAAAATTTTGTAGTTCAAATTAGATTAAAGACCCGATACGAATAACAATATCGAGTGAAACCAATGACATTAAATAATAATCGATATAACAGCCATATCGTTATTTTAATATATAAATAATAATATATATAATATATCGTCATTGAAATACAAAATGCCGTAACTAACTAAAGATCCAAAAATCACTTTTTGATTGATTAAGATGCATTAACCCAGCAAATCGAAGTTCCGAAAATCTTAACGAAATTTTAAGGAGGATCGGAAGTGTATTCCGAAGTCTGTAATGATTTATTTACCAATCTTTAAAGAAAATCATATAAAGTGGTTGATATGACGCGAACTCGTGAAAAAATTTCTGCACGATTTCTTAAAGAACATTCTGAAAAAATTCTTCACAACGCAGAACTATTTTCATCATTTTGCCAAAACTCTCCAAAAGTGAAATACTATTTCTTAACGAATTCTCTAAGATTTCACTGGAAGCATGATTTGCAGAGAAGGGTACCGTGTGTATGTATGCATGTATGTACATATGCCGATAATAGCGATTTTCGCAGTAAAAATATCAATGATACTAATAAATTTAACGATAGCAAAACTTAATTTTCGTTTGTTATTTTAATCTGGTGCTTCCCCAGGTTTTTTACCTGGCCTTCTAAACCAAAAGATATATAAGAGAACGGCAAATACATAATGTTCTCAATATATAGTATTAATGAAATATGCAATAAAAAAAAATTGACAAAAATCACATAACCGTTTTTGTTGGCGCAGCGGCGATATACAAATCAACACTAATGTCGACTAATATATGTACATTAGGAATGTTAATCCCGGGATAATAGTTTTAATAAATGTCTAGCTCATTATACATTAAACACCGCGAGATAGAAAATTTAAAACACAAATATCAATATATCGCGAAACCATGGGCCAAATATAGTAAAATTGCGTTTTTAGTTTTTCGTTCTTGACGTCAGTAGTTCAAAAACGATAAAGTATGGGTATCAAATTAAAGAGGAAATCCTGTATACTTCAAACAGATTCGAGTTTTTGGTGCAGAATGACTGGTAAGTATTGAAAATATCATTTTAAAATTATATGCTTAGGACTTACATAAACTCGATAACATCCTCGAATTTTGTCCTTCCAACATTATGAGCTTAAAAAATGAAATAAATAATTACAAAATCCTTTAAAATAAATCCTGGTATCAGATAGAAAAAAATAAAAACGCCACTTTAAATAAAAAAGTAGGTTTCAAACCCATTTATTTATTATTTATTTTATGGTAGGAGAGCTCAAACAATATAGAAGCAATTTTTTCGATTTAAGTTGAAAAGTAATGAATATCTAAATCCCGAGACTAATTCCGGTATCCCGGGATTGTGGTACCGACATCCCAAAATTTCCGGGATCGAAAAACGCTGAAAAATTAACATCCCTAATGTACATATTTTGCAAAATAACGGCAAATAATTCAATACGATATCGTTAAAATCATCAATAGTGTTATCGATAAGTGCATAATGCCAATAATTCGATAACGAGTTCAATACGATATCGTTAAAATTATTGATAATGTTATCGATAAGTGCATAATGCCAATAATTCGATAATGAAACTATATTGCTAGGTGATGCAAAATTGCGCTTTATGTTTATGCGAAAATCCTGCGTCCTAACGAATTCTCGTTTTAGGTGCAATATTGCGATGCTGCCGCTTCAAATCTGTCAAGCGCTCTCACTGAGCTCCAAACTCAACATGATTCGGCTCGCGCCCGCATCGATGAGACCTACCAAAACTACAAGAAGATTTTGGAGAAATGCCGGGACCAATCGCTTACCGAACTTGGTAAATTGCATTCAGAACGTGAGCTAAAAGTAATGGATTTGCTTCAGAACATTGAAAACACCATGGGTAAAATCGATAGCACCTGCAAATTTACAATGCGCGTACTGGACCAGGCCAATGCCGCCGAATTTCTCTCCATGAAGAAGCTAATTAGTGCTCAGTTTATAAATCTCATCAATAGTACACCAAAGTGTGACATTAACTACTCGCTGACATTCGACACAAAAGCGGAGAAGTTCGAACAAGTCGCCCGGGAGACGTTTGGTAAATTCCGCACTGAATCGACACCACCCTCGCCGAAGGAGAGCACACCACCACCAACCTTACCCGGCATGCCACCCACCATGATGAGCAGCCGCAGCGGTGGAATGAATACTTGTGGCTCGCAAAGTCAACTAGCCGGCGGCAGTTCAGTTACTGCTAGCAGCCCAATATCGCTGCCTACATCCATGCAGAGCTCTTTCGATGGTGACTTCTCCGTACTCGGCAATGGATTTCTCATGCCCAATGTACTAACACCAGATTCACCACCTCATCAGCCGCCACCCACTTTGCATCACCAAATTTCGCAACAACAAGTACCACAGCCACCACCAACTCAGCCACCAATACATGGTGTCAATGGTGTTCGGGGCTTTGATAGTGGAGTTAACTGCGTCAATAGTGTCGGAATGCCAGGCTCGGCACTTGGAGGCGGATTAAATGCACTCACTGGTGGGCACGCATCTTTGCATGGCCACAATCAAGGTCAAGGTCAAGCTCATGGTCATGGTCACGGTCATGGTCACAATGCTGCCGGCGTTAATCCACTTAGTGGCGCTGGTAACAATTTAAATGTTGGTTTGAATAGCAATGCTTTGGGCAATAGCATAAATGCATCTCTGGGTCAAAGCCTAAGCGGTCTCAGCGGTGGTGGTGGCGGTATGAACGGCATGAACGGCGGACTTAATACCACACTCAATGCTGGACTTAATGGTCCGTCAAGTGGGGCTGGTGTTGGCGGTGGAGCACCGCCACCAAGCGCTTACAACAGTATTCTTGAATATAATTTGTCCCGCCTTGCCAGCCTCACTGAGGCGACCCCAGATGTTACTCTAAACGAAGCTTTAGTGGGCCCACCGGCTGGCGCTGGAGGTCACCACCAGGCTGTGGTACCGGCATCGTCGTCGCAAAATCAGCAAATTTCACTAGCAGATATACTATCGGGTGATCAGCGCGCTTTTAATAATTTACAAGCGCTTGCAAAAATGGGGCTCAATAACAATGGTGAGTAGATATGAAGAATTTATGCTATGGAATTGCATTGTGTGAAATTGGGTGTTCTCCTGTTTAAAGATATTAATTTTTATATATTAATTCGTACCATTGCACCTACACACTACGACCTTCATTACCTAACAGATAGTTTTATTGCACTTTTGAGTTGGAAATATCTATTTAAAATATATGTAGCTTCGTTAGAATATTGCACTTTTTAAGTACGCACAGCAAATTTGTTTTGGAAGAGTGTATAGGTTTAGCTCATTAAAAGAGTACTTGTACAGGCATAACTGCCGTCCCTAAATTGGCGCGTCAAGCGCCAAACAACTGTCAAAAATCCTCATGAGCGTACAATATGTATGAAGCATCCCATAATAACGCGGCGCTAGAGCCGAGTAAATGGATTTTTTATTTTTGACGGCGTTACGTGTTGAAATGGGATGCAGAATACGTAAAGAAAGGGAAAGGCCAAAAAAAGTGAAAGAGGAATCGAGAATAAAAACGAGAGGAAATGAAAAAACGTCAAAAATTACGCCGCGTTGATTTGGGGACACTCGTTGACAATGGAAAACGCAACGCTTAGCGCTCCAATTTAGGGACGCCAGTAAGAAATCTATATACATACATACTTGTCTATAGCAGACATAAGGTTATGTCTCTCCGTTCGTCTTTTTGTATTTGCACTAAATCAATTAATAAATGTGTAGAATGATTATTAAGTTGCTTGTTTTCGAGCTTTTCATGATTTTCAACCATAGCTATTTTTACTACATTTACAACTGACTTCTTTTCTATTGTTTTTTCATTATTACGAATTTTATTTACACTTAAAGTATAAATAATTGCTTTTGACACCACAATTCATGAAAGTTGATGTTTAAAACTTAAGTCCGTCTATATTTTAAGTTACTTAGAGTTTGGTAATGTATGTTTTTCCTGATTTTCATTATTTCTTTTTACCTTTTTATCCTTTCTTTGTTATATATGATTTTTAAATGGCTTCCACACGACTTCCAAACAACCACCACCACAATCACTACTATTATAACCACCAAATCCCTTCAAAATTTGCCAAACGTCCTTACGCATCGCTCCGCTTGATTCCGCTCTGCCTACTTGCCACACCATCCACACAAATCCACAAAACAAATATCAAAACAAAAATATATATATATATGAATAAAAAAAAAACTAAAAAAAAACAAAAAAAAAACAATGCCAATGTGTTTGCCGACCCACTACACCACGTCGTATATTATTTACCACGTCGTTTCGTTTTCTGTTGTTGTTGGCATAATACAAGTAGATTTTCACACAGACATGAATCAGCTTTTATCGAGCGGAGCTTCACCCGGAATTGATTGTATATTACCAGATTTCTGCCTACCCGCAGCCACATCGCCCAGCCTCTCAACTCTAGGGCCACTCGGTGCTGGACCCGTCGACGAAATGTCCATTACAAATTTTCATGCTGGCGCCGCACCGGGCACAACCAACATCGTTACCGGACGTAACAAAGCTACACCCATGCAGATTCGTTGCAAATTTGGTTCACTTGGCACCTCAAAGGGTCAATTTAATTCTCCACATGGTTTTTTGTTTGGGCGTTGACGAGGAAATTATCGTTGCCGATACAAATAATCATCGCATCGAAGTGTTTGACAAAACTGGCACACTTAAATTCCAATTTGGTGTACCCGGCAAAGAGGAAGGCCAACTATGGTATCCACGTAAAGTGGCCGTAATGCACACAAATGGCAAATTTGTCGTCTGCGATCGCGGCAACGAACGTTCGCGCATGCAGATCTTCTCAAAGTGTGGACATTTTATGCGAAAGATTGCCATTAGGTATGTTGAGAGAAAGTGTTTTAGATGAAAATTAGCTTAAGATAATTACTAATTACCCTATTTTAATACCTGCGACAGATATATCGATATTGTCGCAGGCTTGGCCGTAACTTCAAAGGGTCATATTGTGGCTGTAGACAGTGTCTCACCAACAGTATTCGTCATATCAGAGGATGGTGAATTGGTGCGTTGGTTCGATTGCAGTGATTACATGCGTGAACCCTCAGATATTGCCATACGAGGTAAAGTGTAATAAAAAATTGTAACTTAATATTTTTAACTTAACTCAGTCTGTCAACTGACTAATAATTATTGTTTTAATGTTTTCTCTAGATAACGATTTTTATGTGTGCGACTTCAAAGGTCACTGCGTTGCTGTCTTCCAGGAGGATGGTACTTTCCAATATCGCATTGGTAATGAGAAGGTCACTTGCTTCCCCAATGGCATCGATATTTCAAATGCTGGTGATATTTTGATTGGTGACTCGCATGGCAATCGCTTCCATGTGGCCTGCTATTCGCGTGATGGTATTTTACAATCAGAATTTGAGTGTCCTCATGTTAAGGTAAGTGAAAATTGAGTCAAAACATAAATAATGTGCAAATGATTCACCTGATCTTAGATAAATGACTGTAAAATTATTTATTTATTTATTTATTTATTTATTTATTTATTTAATCAAATGGAATAAATCCTTACTGACTATAAAACAAGAGAGCTTATATACTACCTAAAATAATTAAGTAGGACAAAACGAACTGTTCCAAATGAGAGAGACGGGTCATATTCAGAGAGCTCATTTAGCTCAGAAAGGGTTCTGAACAAAGGCGAGAATTTTACATAGTTAGATTTAGGAAATCCCAGGTAGAATAAAGAAACACGACGCAAATTATGAGACGGGACGTTTAATGCTAACTTATCCAAAAGATTAGGACAATCGACTGTGCCCTCCAATATTTTGGCCACAAAAGAGGCTGCTAGGAAAGAACGCCTAGTATTTAACGAACTTAAGTTAATAAGTTGACAACGGGAAGTATACGGAGGTATAGGCTCAGAAAATTTTAGAGAACGCAAGGCAAATTTAATAAAAACTTTTTGAATCTTCTCAATCCGGTTTATATAGACAGCCTGATAGGGACGCCAAATGAAAGACGCATACTCAAGCCTAGATCTCACTAACGTGACATAAAGAAGCTTCAGAGTATAGGGATCCTTAAACAACTGACCATTACGACGTACGAATGCTAGCATTGCATAAGCTTTGGAAACTACGTAGTTAATATGGGTTGCGAAGGTTAATTTTGAGTCGAAGTAAATCCCTAAGTCTTTAACCTCTGCGACATAACTAAGTTCATGGCCCCCAATATTGTAATTAGTTTGAACGGTAAGAAGCTTTCTGGTGAAAGTGGAGTAGGAACATTTACTAACATTTAAAGATAAGGAATTAAGAGAGCACCAAGAATGCAGGTTATTAAGCTCAGCTTGCAGCAAAAGAGAGTCTTGTGAGGTTCTGATTACTGAGTAAACCTTTAGATCGTCAGCATATAATAAATACTTAGAAGACTGGAAGCATGATCCAATATCATTTATGAATAAGACAAATAAAAGAGGGCCCAAGATACTGCCTTGGGGAACACCCGACGTAGCTACAAAGGGAGTGGAGAGTATGTTATCAAAAGCAACTGTACAACACCTATCGGACAGATAGGAATTAATCCATTCCAGAAAAGTTGAGTGAAAACCCAATCGCGATAACTTGTTAATTAAGACTTTATGCGAAACTCTATCGAACGCCTTCGAAAAGTCTGTGTACACAGCGTCCACTTGTAGACCTGACTGCATCGCAGCGACACAGTCCTCCATGAATGTAGCAAGGTTGGAGACAGTTGACCTCCCACTAACAAACCCGTGCTGGTAAGGGCAAATTAAACTTTTCACTGCGAAGTTGAGCTTCTGTTTGACAACTGATTCCAAAACTTTTGGGACAGTGCCCAGTTTGGAAATAGGCCTATAATTCGAAACGTCGTTTTTGTTCCCACTTTTGTAGATTGGTGTAATGAAAGCTTTTTTCCAGTCGTCAATAAAGTAGCCAGACGAAAGAGATTTATTGAACAATATTGTTAATGGCTGAACAAGCGATGGGCACCGTTTGAGCATAGCACCTGAGAGGCCATCAGAATCCAATTTAAAAGAGTGCTTTATGGAGCAGATGGCTACTTCTACATCACTTTCGGAAATATGCAGTGCGCCTAAGTTAAGGGCAGAATCTGAAAGAGGGTACCGTTCAGAAGCAACATTAGAATCCGAGACATAATTGGAGGAGAAAAATTCTGCGAATAGATTGGCTACGTCAGCAGGTGTGTTGGCCTCCTTGTCATTCAAAAAGACTGAGGACGGCACACTCGACTTAGCGTTCTTAGATTTTACAAACCTCCAAAATGCTTTAGGGTTGTTTTTAATGTCTGCTTCACTTTTACTAATGAACTTATTATAGAGAATCTTGTCCAAGGCATTAAAGCTCCTAAGGCAGTACCGATAACTGACGAACACAGATTGGGACCTAGTTGCCCTAAATCTTTTAAAAAGCCTATTTTTACGATTTTTGAGTCGTTTTAGATCCTTACTGTACCATGGTAACTTATACAACTTCCTCGTAATTAAAGGCACTATTTCTACACACGCCTCATATATACTACTTTTAAAAACATTGTATGCAGCGTTAGCATCCAAATTGCTGAGTATGTGTTTCCAATCATAATCATGAAAACGGCTATTTAAGAGATCAAAATTGCACGAACTAAAGTTAAAAGTTGGTCGGCATCTCTCAGGAGGAACAGTAGCGAAAACATAAAATTTAATATGAACCTCCATAGGAATATGATGATTATTTACGCGGGTTATTGGGGAAGGGCATTCAAACACCCAATAACTTACATTATTGCTAATGAAAATAAGATCTAAAATACGCTTATAATTATTTATAATTCCATTAATTTGTTGAAGACCAATACTTAGGAAACTATCAGTTACGTATAACTCACTGTCTGTAGTCGCATTAACCGCGGTAAAAGACGAGGAGTTATTAAAGCTATTCCAAGATACATTACACAAATTAAAGTCACCTAGTACACAGAGGTGGTGTTCGCCAATCCTTGAACTGAGATTCAAAACATTATCAACGTGCGCTCTATATATGTCGAAGCAACTGCTCGGTGGAATATAAGAGACACATACAAAGAGAAGTTCAGAGGAACTCCGAACATTCACGCACAACTGCTCGAGGATAGAATCATTATTTTGAAGATGAACCATCGACGAGCACAATCTACGCTGAGCTGCTATAAGCACTCCACCGCCTCTGGACAGGCCCGACCTGATTTCGTCACGGTCCTTGCGATAAACGTTATATAGATCGGGATCGAAGAATTCAGAGTCAAAGAAATTAGGTGTTAACCAGCTTTCGACGATTACAAATATGTCAAAATCCAAATGTGAGCTCAATCTGCGGACTACATCAGCTTTAGTTCTCATTCCAGAAACATTTTGAAAATAAATTTTGATTTTACTATGTGCAACCACACTGGTAGTGCTGTCGACTGGCTTTGTAGTGTCTGCTGATTCTGATAATAAACAACTATGCCAGCGCGCATGAGCTACTTCAGTTGCATTTGTTGCGGAAATTTTTGAAAAAAACGGAACGGCCGAACAGAAACATTTGCTGGCCACAACTCAGGCCTCAACAGATTATCGAAGTTGTGGGCGCAGACCCCAAGCTTAAAATTCACGTGTGTTAGTGATTCGAGATTCGACTCTTTTTTAACGAGCTTGTAGCAAGAAATGCGCCTCTTATCAATGCCAGTGTGATTCCCCACATACTCAATAATGTTATCACAAGAAACTGTTGGCAAAAAAAGATGACAAATGCAACCACTTAAATGGAGTTGCAACACCTAGGTCACTGCAGTCATTGGATCCAACCACACGCACCGGCTTACGACTTTGCCTCATTCTTTTGTTCTCCACTGTCCGCCAAGGGGTAGGAGAAGGAGCGGCAGACACACCCGCGTCAGTAGCATTAACAGCATCAGCAGCTTCAAGTTCAGCATTAACAACGTCAGTTTGAACACAATTCACAGGCAGCGACTCGTCGACGTCAATAACGGCAGAAGACTGCGCAGCAGCATCACTTTCAACTGCTGCGCCGATTGTTGGCTTCGAGTTGGTGACAAACCCTTTGTTAGCAGTAAGTGAGGATCGCGTCGAAACAACTGTAGACACAGCACTCACATCATTAGTACGAAACAACATATGCGAGGGAGAGACCGCACTAGAAGACTCAGGAGCAACAGTTGGAAAACTATTGCTATTGATCACAATGCCTGCCGAGGTGTTGGCCGAGCAAGCAATAGCACTTTTGATAGAATTAACTTCATCTACTAACACTTGCAAGCACTTCACAATGTTGTTGTCCTTTGATTGCGTATCTATTCGCTTGTGTAGGGGTGAGACAGCAGCAGGAGCAGGTGTAACAGAAGCGACAGTAGACAAGCTTTTGCCATTGTTTGCATTGCCCGCCAAAACATCTGACGAACAAGCGAAAGCACTTTTGAGAGAGTTAACCTCATCCACTAACATTTGTGGGCACGACGCATTGTTGTTGTCCATGATGTTTATTGCTTGCAATTCAGATTTTATCTCGGATTTAAAATTATCAAATTGCGCAAATAACTCCTTGAATTTAGCATCAAAAGCACTCCTTATGGCCTCAACACAGTGTCTTTGAGAGGCCAGAAGCGAATCATATGTTTCACTGAATCTCCTTGGTAAAACCACACAGTCAGGACACAAATAACCAATGTTTCGATTTTTTTTGAAGAGATTGACATCGTATTCAGAGACAATACCCTCGCAGCAAGTGCGATGAAATCTTTTTCTGCAAAATCCACTGCATGGCACCTTCTGAGCGTCAGTCCTAGCGAATGCTTTATTGCATTTGCCACAAAAATCGTCCATATTGACAAATTAAACGAAAAATAACAGAGCGAGCAAAAACACATCCGCTCATCAGCACGCACAATTGTTATATGTTATGCTATTAAGAAATAATCCGCATCAGAATAGAGAAATGTTTTAGTGGATTATGAAGCCATAAACTAACGCTAATCGCTAAAGCTGCTCAATTAAATCCAATAATCAAAATATTATTAAAATTATAAAATATATGTTTGAAAAATATTTCAAACAAAAACGTAGGCAAAGTCAGCACGGTCATTATTTTTTTCTACTCTTGTTTTGAACAACAAAAATATACATCATTCTATTTTGTATATTAGTTTCTTCTGAATTTTATTTACATGCCTCTTATTTTCTTTTTTTTAAAGGTTTCGCGCTGTTGCGGCTTAAAGATAACTTCCGAAGGCTATGTGGTCACTTTGGCCAAAAATAATCACCATGTGCTGGTACTTAACACGCTTTACGTTCACTGATCGCAGATCAAAACCACAACTAGCAGTTGTATCAGCGGCAGCAGCAATAACAACAACACTACTGGGGGTAACGTAAGCAATTTTCCAATGAATGTATCCAATGGAAATGGTAGTGGCGGTGGCGTTGGCAGCAGTGGCAGTGCCTATGAAAGCGTCAACTGCGGCATTATCGCAGTCAACAACGCCATCAGCAGCAATAGATATACAACGAATAACAGCGGCAGCACAAGCAGCAGCAGTAGCAATAATAACAATCACAATGTCAATAATCTTCATCCCCACACTTATCAGCAACAGCAGCAATATAACCATCCATCACAACCACATAATCACCATTATCATGCAGCCCACCAGTATCAGCAGCCCCAGCAACAACAACAGCAACAGCATAATTTAAACAGCGCTAGTATTATGGGTAGTGCCATACATAGCAACAACAATCAAACGCACAGCAGCAGCAGCAGCAGCGGCGGCGGTAGTGCGCTACAACGTTCAACGGATAATAAATCTAGCCTCTGGTTGATGATGAATGGTGGAGGTGCGACGGCTGCTGGGGTTGGAGTTGCTGCTGATAGAGCCTTGCCACAGCCACCGCCCCACGGTCAACACTAATGTGCGCTGCCAAGACAGTAAAGCGGAACGCAGATTTGATGGATAGCAAGCGTGCTTTTAGCAGGTAATTGCTTTAAAGCGGCCAAACCATAATACAAATACAATTTATATATACGTATATGTACATATTTATATATAAATGAACCAGTGAAAGCGAATTATTCGATTATTAAGAAATGCCTATAATACATAAGTGGAGATTTCGCCCCATGCAAAATACGATTTTGTGAGTAAATGTAAATGAAAAAATCTATTTTTAGCAATTAGAAAAAGAAACAAATAAGTATATACAAACATACACAAGCAAAATACATGATAACACCAATACACAACACTGCGCGTAGACAATTTGAAATCTCAAACGAAGAAAACCATTTTGAAATTACGGTAGATATCACCAAAAAAAATTAAAAATGTTATACACACAACTTGTTTAATTTAGAAAAGAATAAGCTTTAACATACAGACATAGTATATTGTTTTTGATCTCTTTTCCAAGTTTTATTGCTTTTTCAAATATATACCACAAAGAAGGATTATGCTTCGCCAAAAATCAGTCATAAGTTCGCTTTTTCTTGCTTTTTTCTTTTTTTTTTTTTTAATTTACGAAGAAAAACGTAACACTCTTCGCAGACTTTTTACAAATGGCGCCGGCGTGCAGTTGGTTGTGAAATAGTGTTTGAGCGACAGGTGATTCAAATACGCTTAAAATAATGGTTAAATATTGCAAATAACTCATAAACACAAAAAACAATTCGAATGCCATAACTTCAAGAGACCATTTCGGAAGGCACATTCCAAGTGAATATTTAAAAAAAAAAAAATGGAAGTAGTTGAAAAAATATGATAACAAAAACGTTACATAAAATTATCAAAATTATTTTTTCTTAATAAAAATTAATGTTGCCAAGAATAATTCTGTGATAAAATTTAAGCATTGAAAAATGCATTAGCAAAAGTTGTAGTTGGGAATCAGAAATTGGTTATCGCTTGGTCAAAATTTAGCAAAAAATTGAGAGATCCATTTGTGCAAATTAAATGTTTTTGTTTAGCAATCACTTGACGATCACACGACCGCCCTGCGCTACCCATGTGTTTATGAGCTTGAGTATTATGTTTTCAAATTCAATTGTAACAACAAGGAAGGCGTTTAATTTTCATTAAACCTAAATAAAGCATTTATAAAACTGGCAATTCCTTTAAGTTTCACACTGTTTACGTTTCTTGTTATACGTATGCAAGAGTTGGCAAGTCAATAATATGCAATGCCGTGATGGAGTGATTAATGTAAAATTTTAATATTTAAAAGTGAAAATAATAAAAAGGTAAACTTTTGTTATTTTGAAATATGTACTTGCGAATTCCTTTAAATACACACTTTTTATTTTTATTTTAAACAGTCGTGCTATACAAGAACAAGCGACAGTGAATTTTAGCGTGTAATCTTACAAATCTAAAAAAAAATAAAACGGCATACAATTCAATTAGTGTAAAAGCGAGATTTATTTTTATTCTTCAAATGGTCGGTAATGGAAGAGCAATTAAAATAGCCTTCATGCAAATACATTTATAGTCTTTAACACATACAAAATGAGAGAAAACGAATTCAATAACAACAAAACAAAAACAACATAAAAAAGGCTGGTTTTCCAAGACATTATTTTTATTATTATTATCTAATATTTTAAACAACAATTTAAATATTAATTATTACATAGCCTACCACATACATTTTAAAGCAAAGCGAAATATTTTACATATTTTCTTTAATGCGCTGTAAATTTTAACATTTATTTTAATCCGACTTTCAATTGTTATGTATAAAACATGTTTTTGTTTTTCGATATATAATAAATTCAATATTAAATATTACATACAAATATGTATACAATCATACCTACATATATTGAGAACAACATCATTAAATTTACTCACACAAACAAATGCAAATGTGTAAATGCTTTACTTTTACAACATTGGCATTGTTGACGGTTGCGGCGGCTGGCAACGAATTCCATGTAAAAAAAAAACGAAAATGAATACCTTTTTTATTTAACAAAAGGCCTTATTGTTGCGTCCGCCCCAGCTTATTTTAAACAATATTAGAGCAATTCAAGAAAATGCGCAAATGCCTCGTAACCATGTAAGCCTTGTAAACTTACTTAATTTTGTATGGAAAATCGAATTATTTACGAGATTTGCGCGGTTACAAGGCATTTAAACGTTTCCCTGAATTGAATACCCATATTATTACTTTATTTTTCTTTTTCCCGTTTTTAAGCTTTTGCGATTTTCTTTTATTAATTGTTGTAAATGAAAGAAAATCAACAACAAAAAAAAACATACTAGCAACTTGTGTGTTTCAAATATTTTCTTGTCATTTTTTGTATTATTCATAATTTTAACTTTATTTTATTTTCATATTAACGAAGAGACAGAAATTTTAAAATCTATTATTATATATTTACAAATTAAATATGTATGTAAAACACGAACAATAACAAAAATGTAAAAAAAAAACAAAAAAGAATTAACGAAAAGCTACCTAAGAATTTTTATTGCAATTTTTAATGATATATCAATAAATTTTTAATTTGAATATTTTTTTTTTTTATTTATATTTTAATTTTTTACAAATTTTAATTGTAAATGTACATACATATTACATATACATACATTTGTAAGACTTTTATTGAAGTGAAATGAAGCGAAGAAAAATAACAGAATAAAAAAGCAAAAAAACATTGTATTTAGCAATTTTGAGGTCGTGGGAAGGCAATTGCTACTAAGAAAGTATACTAAGAAAAACAAAAACTAAAACAACAACCATAACAAACACAACAACCAATAATCGCATATTTTCAAGTCATTTTTGATTATTTAGACATGTTGTTTTTTTAATATATAATTATAAATAGCCTTAGTGCATACATATACATACATACATATATGATGACTTAAAACAGTTTACAATAATTGTTAGTGTAGAAATTATATATATAAAATTATCGCAGGAGAATTTCAAAGAAAAAATTAGAAAATATCTATGGTACTCAACTCACATTTAGCGAGAATTTGAGCACTTTGAAGAGAGTTGAATTGAAGCAAAGCTTGGTGAAAGTGTTGGAAATTGAATTATCTAAAAATAGTTTAAGCGCGAACATGTTTTTTTGTAGGATATTGTGTACTTTTCAATCTATTTGGGAAATTAAAAAAAAAAAATTAAAAAAAAACGAACAATTATGTACACTATATTGGTAACGAAATGGAAATCTCTGCACTAAAATTTAAATTTCTCTATCCACCTTTCTTTTCTCATACATATTCAAATGCTTGCCACTTTGCGCCAATTACGATAACAAAAATTACATATTACTTTTTCTCAAGTGGCTTTCTCGATATTTACACAAACTATTCCCTTTTGAATCCATTAAAAAAAATTGAATACAAATAACTATTTTCTTAATACATAAGTGGCTTGATTTTATTAATTACGAAAATTTACATCTTAGTTTTAATTAGTCTTACATATATAATTTTTATAGTTTTTAAACTTTAACTTCTTGTAAATTTGCTGCTGTGTTTTTCCCTTTAATTTGGGTTTGTCAAACAAAACTTTTTTGTTTTCTATCACTATACAACTTATTATTATTATTATTTTTTAATATAATGTTATCGTTATAACTTTTATTTTAGGACGTATATAATGTAGTTAAAGCTAAACTAAAACGATGGAAGAAGAATGTAAGAGAGAAAACAGCTACAAAAAAGCATTTTAGCTCTATATGCCAAAACGTATTGATATTATTTTTTCACTTCCACTCACCGCAAATAACGACTACAACAATAACAAAAACATTAGTTTGTTGTTAGTGTTTAAACTGGTTTTTAATGTGTAATTTTATTTTATTATATAATTTTTTAAAATACCTGATCATGATATTTGGTTTTAATTTGTTTTGACTTTTAATTCAAATGTGCTTTTAAATTATAAATTTATCTTTTATTTTCAACTTTACAGTTTTTAATTTATTTTTTGTTACCAAAAAGGGTTCGCTTTTAATTTTGAAATACTATGGTATACAGTTTATTTCGTAATTTAAATTTTTTTTTAATAATTTTAGATATTTTTATTATTATCTATTATTTTTTGTAACTTTAAGTAAATCAACATAATGCGCTTTTAATGATGTCCTTGTTGTGTTAGTGAGACTTTCGTACTTGACGCTATTTTAGTTTTTGTAGGAAGGTTTTTCTTCGTTCCAATGAAAAATTTATTAAAACAAATATTTAAGTTTTACAAAATCTATAAGTATATAGTTTAACAAAAACGAAAAATATATAATATAAATATAGTATATATACATATATTAATTATAAATTGTTAACATGTTGAATTCGTGCTCGAAAATGTATAATTGATAAAACGTCACTTTGCTGTGCTTTTACCTTTTTATTAAAATTGAAATTAAAAATTAAAAAAAAAAACAAAATTAAAAAAAAAACGTTAGTATAACTTTTACTATTTTTTGTGGTTTTACAATATCACATACGTACATATGTATACAAACATGCAATTTAAAAGTGAACAATTTGCATATTTGTAGAACTTAGCGACCTCTTTATTATATTCCTTTTTCGCAATTAAGTGTTTAGAATTTATATTTACATACATACATACATACATTACTGAAACCTACTCACACACCTACAGACAAATATACAAAAATATATACCATAAATAAAAAAACAGGATGTCAGCTTTTTAATTGAACCCACGTTTGCTCGTTAGAGATGTTTTGGCTTCATAAAGTAACATTTTCATTTTTTATCGTATAATTCGTTTAAAATCTGTCTTTTTCTCACAAGCTCATACAAAGCTTCGCTAAGCCTCAACTTTGCCAGGAAATTCATTTTACTGTCTTTGTTTCCCAACAAAAAAAGCTACTTTCGTCGCAATCTACTACCACTACTTTTCGCAAAAAAAAATGTTTTAAGGG